TCTTATGAAAAGGCCAGGGGATCTTTAATGTTACATTGAACAAAACAGCAAAACACTTAGTACATCAGTTGTTCTTAGATGTAAATTAATTTAGTGTATAGCTTCTGTGCTGTCCATTTCTATTGGCCGAATCAGTCATGTGGAGAGTTTTGTTCACCACCCCTCCCCCCAAATGCATACTTTTTATTTCAATATTTAATGTAACTTTAATTTATTTTTTTACTCTGGTTCAATCAAAAGCTTAAGTATTTGAACAAATTATAGAAATATATAATATGTGGAAAGCAAAGATGTAAAAAGAAGGTGCATAAGAAAGGAAGCATAATTATTAATTCAAAAGCCTCATCAAGCCAATATATAGCATTGCTCTCTGCCATTTTAACATATGTAACTCCCATACTTTTTCTCAGCTCAAACCTGCACTGCAGCAGTACACAACCTGCTCTTTTTAATTCCTGCTTTGAGCTCAAATGTTGGTTACAATAAATGTGACAGCAGTTATTTGGATTGTGGGTTCAGATAAACCAGTTCACTAATTTTTTATTTGTTTTTTTACATTTGTATTCTGCTTCTCTGAGATGGCAGAAGAACATCTGGTCACCCATACAGAAAGAAGCAGGAAGAGTAGCTGAGAGTAGATATTACTGTGGAGAGTAAATCCAAGTCTCTGTTGTGCTGTTGCAAGCACAGCTAAAGGAAGAGTAAAATAAAAAGCAATCAAGACTCACCAATAGGCATCACTTCTTTGATACAGCCAAACTGTTCATGAATGAGCAGTGGGGAACTGTAGTAACGTCGAAATCCCTTTGGCTAGAGTGAAACAGAGAAACATGTGATGTGTGTCACGGACATGATTGATGTAGCAACACAGAGTGACAGAAATGTTGTCAGCTGTTCTGCTAGTGGTATAACCCTACGTCTCACTGAAAACTGTGAAGAGGAGGAACACAGTATCTGTTAGGCCCTAATGAATCACTGCAGGGTGCAGAGAACAGGGATTTTTTTTTTGCCTCCTAGAAACAACTCATTTCTGTCTCTTAATATTAACTTGAAAGATGGGTGTCAGTGTAGGATTGTAGGATCCAATTTTAACTTCAGCTTTCACAAACCTACTGTTAATTAGTGAAAAAGTAATTATAGCAGAAATGCTGAATTATAAAACAAAACATTCTTGCTCCACTAATTAAAGGCTCCACACATTATTGCTTTTCTAATGACCTTCTGTTTTAATCTTTACCCCTTCCTGGTAATGCCTCATTTTGCAACTTGATCTCCACAAATATGACTTTTCGGGCTAACCCTCTTCTCTTGTACATAGCCAGCTAGTCTCTCCAGGAGCCTTCTATGCAGACTGAAAGCTTTATGATGGCTCAATTCCCTCCCATAAATTCAGCAATATTTGGCCAATGATTTTACACAGTTTTGGATCCATTGGGCATGCCTCCATTCTACCCTATCTCATCTTCAGTCCATGTGCTCCCAGATATGCACGCATGCCAAAGAGGTAGAGGTTCCTTCTGTTAGCTTTTAGAAGCCCACCTTCCTTTGACTAGTGAAACAGCACTGATTCCATTGCCTTTTTGGTCTGATACCACTATAGATCAAAAGAGCAGAATTTGGGTCTATGTGACAACATCTTTCAAATGATACAACCAAACTACCCTCAAAAGCTCATGAAAAAGATGCAGCATAACAAATGAAAGCTGCACCTTTGCCTGAATCCTAAAACAAGAGAAGGCAAACAAGGATTGCTGTTGAAATCTTATCATTAGGATGATTCAATATTTTGGGTTAATAAATTTCTTGACCAAAGACAAGCTGAGAAGTTCAGTAGTCCAGAACACAGTTATTACCACATATATAGGCAGCACCCTCAAATTGACTTATCATTCCTTGTAGTTTGTAACTAATTAATATTACCTGAAGTAGGCTCCCCTCCAGATGTCACATGCAGGGTCAAACTAGAATCAGTAAGGAACTTGCATGGCTAGGTCACTGCTGCACTCATTAAAAATGATCTTTTCCAAATTGCCCTTGCTGTGCCTGCTCTTTCCTCAGACCTGAGCAAGAATGCAGTGCATTCAACAGCTTGTCTCAGTTTATGCCATGATCTAATGAAAGATCTCACCCACAGAAATCCGTCTCTTTCACATATTTCCTGGACTGTTATGGCCACAACCGCACCCTAACACCACCTTTTCTAAATTGCCAAAGAAATGTTTTGGAGAGACATGCATATCTACTGTACCCAAGAAATAATGCTATATGGAACTTCTGCAACTGCTAGTAGGCATCAGTATGAACAGAAAAACTGAGAAGGAATATTGGGGTTTGTTAGTGTGGGAAAACTGTGTTACTAATACTCAGCCTTACTTTAATAATAGGTCAGATTCAGAGCTCAATGACTTCAACAGCTGTGTCTACTCTCACCAGTTCTAAATGTGGCCTTTTTTCCCTATTGTTTATACATAATTAATAAATGACCAACATAGTTTTTGTTAGCGTATCCGAGGCTCGCCTCTTCTACTGTCTTACTTGATCTACATGAACTGAAAGTTAAACTAGACAAAAGTTACGTGAACTGAAAGTTATACTAGATAAGCAATTGCACTTTTCAGTACCTATGAAGTTTTGAGAGCGTTTCTTGTGACTCCAGAGAGCCCCAGGCCATGACTATAAGGATGATTTAAATCAGGGGCAGGCAATTATTTCAGGCGGAGGGCCGCTTACTTAGTTTTGGCAAGCCATCGAGGTCCACATGACAGGCAGCCAGGGGCAGATAAATATTAATTTTCTTAATTTTGGGGGGCCCCGTGGGCTGGATAGAATGGCCTGGCAGGCCGCATCTGGCCCCTGGGCCGCATTTTGCCCACCCCTGATTTAAATGCACTACTTTTTTCCTCATGTGTAACTTCCATTAGCATTAATAGAATTTAGGTGATAGTTACATGATACAATGAAGTGCTGTTCAGAGATAATCCAAATAGCTCAGGTACAAGGAACAGCACAGCTGTATTAGTACAGCTCTTGGGTCTATGTGAATTTGTTCCACTGCGAAGCAGGGTATATTAACCAGGACACAGAACCTTGCTAACATGGCTGTACCCAGTGAGGTAGCATAGGTATCTCTGCCAGGTGCTGCAGTGTGCCATGAACATGCACCTTCGCTGTACACAGGTTGTGAAAGAAGGTTCTGAAAGAGTAGGGGTAGATTTCCCAGCTTCACTAAAGTAATTGAAAGTGGGGTAAGAGTTTCAATCTATTTGTTCTAGCCTGTGCTTAGTCTTAGGTGCCATAAGATTGAATTTCTTTTTCTCTTTTGACACTAACATTTGTGAAATAGTTGCAATAAAATTCAAGCAGTTTGAAATGCAAGCATTTTTTCTTCTGTCTGGGAATCTAAAACAGGTTGGATTTGCATATTACTATGGGCCTTTTTCCTCCACAAACATGAAATATAGGGACCTAAGGACTTTTTCATTGTCATATAAGAGAAGCTATAAAGTCCAGCTAGCCAAATACACTGTCTCAGTCGGTAAGGAATGACTGACATATCAGAAGAAAGTATGAGATCTCTACAATAGGGACAAAAAGGAAAACACCTCCCTCTCCACCGTCACAGGTTACATTCTTCAATCTAATGGTTAGACATTATTTAGGAGCCCTAAAAATTATTGTCACTATCCCTGCAAAATATAACCTGTTTTTTCCAGCTAAGTCATTGTTTTTACAAAATTCTGAAGGTAGAAAAATAAATATACTAAAATTTGTAGGATATTTATCAACAATTTAAGTCAGCCGTAATTCTAACAGTTTTTATTAACTTCTAGAATTTATTGAGAGATTCACACTATAGAGAATATAGTAATCACTGAATCAATTAAGAAAATACAGTGTCTAGATGAATCAGAACCGTGCAATCAAATACCCATATTCATACAACTATACAGAAACTGTGTGTATTATCTCGGCTTCTTGAGTAGTAACCAGTATGGGTCTAAAAAGTGCACCGTGACATAATGTCAGTCTTTTAAATTAAACGAATTACATCTTTGTTAATATACCAATTGACTCTGTTCATGTGGTAACAGCTAACAGGGCAGAATATATGGACTGGATTGATTTCCTAGTGGCTGTGACACAGTGTTCAATTTATACGGAGCGGCTTGCTTACCAGTTTGCCCATGCAACGTTGTTGTCCAATACTGTCTGTGCACTTGTGATGGATACTCATCTTACAAGCCTTACAGCGCAGTCCATGTTTAGCATTTGTCCCTGTCAAATGCACAGAGATAATTTAATTAAACAAAATCAATATTTTCCATGCATTTAACCAGTGACCTAAAAGAATCAAACAGAAGGCTGATTACAGTAGCATAAGTCTGAGTAAAACTTGTATTTTCCTCTCTCCATCCTATGGCTCTATTTGGCTTTCCAGGTTTAGGAGGTTCTGTCCCAGGACAATACTGATTATTATTATTATTGTAATTATTATTCAGAGTTGCTAAGACTATTATTTAGAGGGTTAGGAAAAATGCCTGTACTTGAGAGTATGCATGTAGATGTTGGTTATTTGAGTAGCTAATCTGGTATGCATGCTGCTGTACTAAAAATTGATTGATATTGATTTACATTGGCTAGATGATTTAATCCAATGAACTGCTACTTCTGAAGGAAGCACTTCAGGGAAGGATGTCATTAAGCCAATGACAAAATATTAGTCTCTCTAGAAGTTGCTTTCAGGGGCAATGTTTCCTGTAGTGTCAGCTTTCAAGGCACTGAACGTGGGGGAGTAACTATAACCACAGGTCAGGGAATTCTCTGGTGTTTCCAAACAGCCATGGGGTCAGACATTTCAATATCTCTTGTTAACGTTATAAATGAAATTCTTTCAGGCTTACACATTATAACTCCTTTTAACAGAGCTGAAGTGAATGGGGCTACACAGGGTGTAGGTCAAAGTAGAATTAGGTTTAATGCCAGCAATTAATGCCTGAAAGCAGAGGCTTCTTCTGGCATTTTGTGACTAACTAGAGAAGCAGAGAGCTGCAGTTAGCCTAGCTGGTTATTAACTCATAGGTAGTCATGAGGTCATTACTGCTATTGAAATCACAAAGATTAAAAATCACTCTTCCAGTTGCAGTTGAGTAATACATGCCGTAAGTAAGATTTTCTTCTTTATAAATTGGCCAAATTTCAATTACACCTCTATTGACTTTTGTGGGGCTGTGCTTATGTCACAGACAATGACCCACCTTTCCTAGCAGTCAACGACTACAGCAGCAAACACTGGGGGAACAAGACTCCATCTTCACTATCCTACTAGACTTATAGGGAGGCCTCTGAGAGAGACACTATATTATGCCTGCAAGAATTAATGAGAATGAGTGACAGTATGTACACTTGGCCTGATTCTCCTTTCATTTATATTAGTTTTATGCTAGTAAATAACTATGGCCATGTGTAGACGAAATGAGGGGCATGTGTGCACGACACTTTAAAATGAGTTAAATGCTTTTGCACTGCTTTAATGGTGTTGGTGTTTGCATGCATTGGTGGTGTATTGCACAGTAATTCCAGGCACTGTAGCAAATTTGCAGGCATAACATGCCTTAAATGACTTGGGGCGCAGCAAACTAAAACTCCTCTGAGAAGTTTTAGTTTGCTGCCCTAAAGCTGTGGAGTAAAACACTGTGCTTCACGCAAGTCAGGGGCTCTGCAGGAAGCCCATGCAGGTACCCTAGCAGCAGCTTGGAGCCTGCCTGCCTGGCAGTGGAGCCTGCCTGAGCTGTGCGGGGGCCCAGTGCTTGCCTCCATGGACTGCCCGAGCCCGGTGCTGCCTGGGGGAGGGGAAGGGGAGAGGCACCATTGTCACAGAGTGAAGCACCAGCTTCCCCCGCAGCCCAGGGACTGCTTCACCCACCAGCAGCTCACCCTCCCCTCCCTGCCGCCGGAGAGGTAGGTAAGTGCATAGGTGTGTGCATGACATGGGGGTTTACTTAGCTCTAAATTGAAGCAGTGTTTTTAAAAACCCACTGCTTCAATTTAGGGCCCCTGTTTTAGCTACACATGCCCTATGTACTGAATAGACGTGCTAGATACACACACTGTATAAATATATACTTTTTTCAAAACTAAAAACATTTTTTTTCTCTTTTGAAATAAATACGTCTGAGCATGTAAGTAACGGCTTACAATCAAGTCCACATAGTGAATTGCAAAAGGGCAACCACTTTGTATTTCTATTATTGAATACACATTAAGACAGGCTAATGCACATTTTCCTGGTACCTCACAATGGAGGGTGTGTCTATGTGTGTATTCACCTGCCTTTTCTAATGCACGTTAAATTTAGTACCTCCAATGTGCAGTACTAAATTAATGCACATTAGGCTGTGCTAATGTGCAGTAGCACACGTGCACAGTTTTTTAGTGATGCTCAATGCGCAGTAGACTATTTTACTGTGCATTAGCATAATGTCACTTTTTTACGTAAAATAGTCTACTGCACGCTAAAGTGCACAGGTAGAGATACCCGAAGGGCATTTATACACACGCTCCGGGAATGTGCGTGTAGGGGCTGCTTTAATTAGAGTGTCTCTGAGAGCTGCTTTAATTAAAACACCCAGAGTGTCTCATGTAGCAGCATCCCCACACTACAAAATGGTTGTGGGGGTGTTTTATCTACAACTGATCAAATGAGCTTTAGATAAAGCACCCCTGCCACCATTTTGAAGTGCAGGGACACTGATCTACAAAATGCTGGCTAGTAATTGCCATGCTGCAGCAGACTCGATTAACTGATGCACTGTAATTACAGTATGTCGGAGCAACCTCCCTGCTCATGTATATGTACCTGGAGGTACTAGATTTAATGCACACTGACCGAAGTGTGTTAATGCAAATGTAGGCATACCCACTGTTGGTGTAGATGGGAGGAATATTTTGCCCCTAGGTCAAGTTTTGACTTCCCACTTATGTAGTCCCGTTGGCTTCAGGGTAACATAGTGCAAGAAAAGGAGCAGTATTTGGAACACACTGTTCCATAGACTGAAATGTAAAAGAAAGTCAAAGTTTTTATCAAATTTTTATCTCAGATGAACTTTATAAATCTGAAGTATCTGCATTTATTTCAGCAGAGTTACTCTGGATTTACATTGGTATAACTGAGATATACACATTATGGGTAAAGAAATGCGATGGGGAATAGGGTTGTGTTTAAATGTTAATTACAGCTAATGGGACTTGTACATCTAAATCTTCTAGCCATTCAGAGGTCATCAATCTTATCAGCAGCCTTTTTCCTTTTGGAGCTCAAAGGCCGCTAGTAACAGTATGACAGGAAAACAGATTCTAGTTTTCTAGATACATTTGGAGAATTTAGTGAGGTTTGAGTTGTGTATCTTCTCAGCTCTCCAGAGCTCATAGAAATATATGAGGAATTAAGACCGACTCCTAAGCAATGAGAAAGGTCACAAATACCAGTTCCTTTTGGGGTGTTTGCTAAAATTTCCAGGCAGGTGACAGTAAACACATTACTAGTTATTAGGCTTGATACCCTATTTGGATATCCTGGAGATGATTCCCTAAGCAATGCAATGCTTCTATTGTTAGGCCCTCCTGTGACTGGCAAAAGGAGAATTGGGCCAAATGGCTCAATCAGTGCACCTCAAGCCTCAACTCTATCATCTCTGTTAATCCAGTTCTGGGCCCCTCCAGCATTTCAACTGCTAAGGATACCAGCCTGTATCAGATTCTGATATACTTGATGATGCAGTGCTATAATCTCTTGGAATAAAGAAGAGATCATTAAACTGATCTGTTTTCCTATAAGTATGACTTATGCCAAAGGTTGTACCCAGGCTTCCTGTTGCATGAGGCTAGTAAGCTATTCTTAGGCCTTTAAACCAGGTTATGTTGGATTTAAATTTATGCTTCCCAAGCTTTCTATTCTTATCCTCACAAGATTACATTTTACAGATTTTGTAGGCACAGTTAGTACTGTCAGAACTGGCACTCACTTTTCCATACAACAGTTCAAGTGTTGGCATAAATCCGCAAGCTGAAAATACATGTGCAAATACTGTGGGCATAATTCATGCCCATAGAAAGGGAAAGACTGTGCCTCATTGTATATATATTTTGAAATATCCCTTAAATCTTTACTAGAGAAAATAACCATTAACATAAAATTAGAGATTGAGCAAGAGCAGAATTCAGAATGCAAACATTTTAAAATTCAGTGGAAGTAGGATTGAAATTTGTTTTAATGCCCTAACCTGAACCTGCTCCTTTGATTATATTTCCAAGTTAAATTGGAAAAATAGCAAAGAAAAGGATTGGGGTTTTGTGGGGGCAGAGAGGAGAAGAAAAGGATTATTCAGATTTTACAGAAAATTCGTGTGAACATCTGGTCCTGTCAGTTGACAAAATCTCATGAGACCCTCTAGTAACATTTCAGCACTTTCAGAGCTAAAGTAGAACTTCAACCCTAAATGAGCTTTGTATCAAAATCTTCACTTCCTCACCCCATGGCATGTTTTTATCTGGAATTGCAAATAACCTGTTTTCTTATAAAAAATGTTAATCAGCTGCTCTAAATACAGGCTCCCCTTAACCAAAGGGTTAAGGGGAGCCTGACTTAACCTAGACTGAGCCCATGGGGGAGCTGATGTCCCCCTACCTCCTGGCCTGTGGGGGATCCCCA